TTGTGGTCCCACCAGTTCTTGCTTGCAGGCAAATGGTATTTCTTGCAGATATTCCAATACAACAACATCATCATCATCATTATTATTATTAAAAAGATTTGTATGGCCGCCCATCTAAAAACACAACTCTGGGCAGCTTGCAACAATAAAATCCAGAACTATTAAAACTATAAAACCATAAAACCAACAGGACAAAACCCAGCACCCCTTCCCCTTGGAATGCCCCACAACCATCTCCTGAGATCCTCACTCTGCCCCAGTGCCTGGGTCCAAAGCCAGCTCTTGATGGCCTTCCGAAAGGCTAAAAGGGTGGGGGCCTGTCAGATTGCTGGGGGGAGAGGGTTCCATAGGGTAGGGGCAGCCCCAGAAAGGGTACGCTTCTGAGGTCCCACTAAATGGCAAGATTTCAGGGAAGGTACCTGAAAGATGCCTACCTCATCCAATCCGGTAGGACAGGCAGGTACTCTCAGAGAGACGTGATCCTGCAAATTTTGTACACCGGCCTTTTTTACGGTCTTACCAGCTAGTCAAAGGAGGAGGTCACTTCTTATCATAGACTGTGACCTTGGAGATCATTTAGTTAGTCCAACCCATTGTCCACTACAGAAATCCCTAACTATAGCATTCTGTTCTGCTCCCCCACCTCTTTCCATAGAACCATAAATAAATACAGGAAGTCCCCAGTTTAAGAACAGGTTCCATTCCCAAGGTCTGTCCTTAAGTCCAATTTGTATGTAAGCCGGAACCAAATTATTGTATAATACTGTATAAGTAGTATTGTGTAATGAACTCGAATCATTGTGTATTTAACTTGAATGTTGCTATAATAGGTTCCTTAAACTGGGTGTTCTTAACCTGGGGACTCCCTGCATCTGGAATGGCGTGATCAACATTGGGTAGGCATCTTTTTAACAGGCTGGTACAAGAGCTGATGATTGACCCAAGAGTATGTATTTAAATAAAGTATTTGTCCACCCAATTCAAACCTTGTGACTCCAGGCAGTGTAGGGTAGATCCAACCCCAAAACAAAATAAACAATTTTGGTTAAAATCTGAAACATTGATAGGTGACCCTAGAGAGTATCTCCCCAGAATGATTCCATGGATTTCTTGTGCTGCTGAAGGCCCAAGAGAGAGCAAAGCTTTTGTGCTCTCCAGGGTTGGTGACGATGGAGAAACCTGACTGGCTTTTATTTCTTTTTGTCACCGCAGGGAACGAGCAGGTGCAGGAAGAGGAAGAAGAGGAGGAGTCTTTCCAGTCCAACCGGCCCGAGCCAACGGTTAGTGGTGGACTGTCCCTGGAAAGAGGAACTGGGAAATGTTTCCAAGGCACTGAGTTGGAGGAGAACTCTGAAGGTCATCCCGAAAGCCATCCCGGAAAGGCAACCAAACGCTTTGAGGAAAGCAGCAGGAGTGCACGGGAAAGCTCCTTTCAGGAGGGGGCTCCCCGCCACGCCGACTCAGGGGAAAGTTCCGGCAAGAGTTTTGGCCCCCAGGAAATTCAGCCGATGGAGAAACCCCACAAGTGCTCATTCTGCGGGGCAAGTTTCTATGAGAGAACTCACCTCATTATCCACGAGAGGATCCACACTGGGGAGAAGCCCTACAAGTGCTCGGTTTGTGAGACGTGGTTCTCTCATCCCTCTGAGCTGATGAGGCACGAGGAGACCCACATGCCCGAGAAGCCCCACAAGTGCGCCGTCTGCGGCAAAAGTTTCAATCAGAAAGCCTCCCTCATCACCCATGAGAGGACACACACAGGGGAGAAGCCCTACGAGTGCTCCGAGTGCGGGAAGAGCTTCAGCACCAGCTCCCAGCTCATCACCCATAAGAGGGTCCACACGGGGGAGAAACCCTACAGCTGCTCCTACTGCGGGAAGAACTTCAACCAGAAGGCGTCCCTGATCACGCACAAGCGGACTCACACGGGGGAGAAGCCGTACGAGTGCACGCTCTGCGGGAAGAGCTTCAGCGCTTGTTCCCAGATCATCAACCACATCCGGGTCCACACGGGAGAGAAGCCCTACGAGTGCCTGGAGTGCGGGAAGCGTTTCGGGAGCAGCTCCCACCTGACTGATCACAAGCGGACGCACACGGGCGAGAAGCCGTACAAGTGCCCCGACTGCGGGAAGAACTTCAGCCGGAGTTCCAACCTCACAGCTCACAGCCGGATCCATACAGGAGAGAAGCCATATATATGCTCAGGTTGTGGCAAAAGCTTCAGGCAGAAGGCGTCCCTCATCACGCACAAGAGGACTCATACGGGGGAGAAGCCGTTCGAATGCGCCGAGTGTGGGAAGAGCTTCATTTCCAGCTCTCGCCTCGTCAGCCATAAACGGGTCCACACGGGGGAAAAGCCCTACGAGTGCTTAGAGTGCGGGAAGTGCTTTATATCCAGCTCCCACCTTCTAAGCCATAAAAGAGTCCACACAGGAGAAGAACCTTTGAAATGTTCGTAGAGAGGAAAGCGTTGCCAATGTGGCACCGCCCTTCCCAGGGCTGGCTTTCATGTAACTCTGGCGGGGAATCCTATATCTCCGGGATGGCGTAGCATCTGTAATCCTGAGGGCCATTCCGTTTCCTCGATGTACCATGAAAGTTTTGTTTGTTTATTTGTTTTAAGGAACCTTGTTCTTTTTTTCTTTTTTTTTCCCATAAGCTCAGGGACGTTCCTGCAAGATCCACGTCCCGGCTTTATCTGTAAGGCCAGCTGGTGCGTACCCTGGCCACAACGCATCTTCCTGCACTTCAGCATGCGGAAGATGCAGGCTTGGCTTGTGTGAACATTGCTCCCATCTTCCTGAAAGAGGCAGAAGATATCGCCCATTGAGGTAAACGCCAAGTATGTGGGCCACATATCAAGCAGGTGGGGCCAAAGGGTTGACTCAGTGCAAGTCTGTCTCACAGCGTCCCCTGGGCCAGCTGTGCCCATCTCGGCAGCTGACGGTGTGAACCAGCCTTGCTGTAAGAAAGAATAGCTAAGGGGGATTTTGACAGGGAGATCGTTGGGAAACAAAGACATTTTTCCGTGTCTCTCTCCCTGCCTGCCATCAAGAAGACCTTTCCCCGCGACTTGATCAGCTAAAGGAACCCTGAGTAGTCATGCTCTGAATATCGTAAAAGATCTAGGAAACACTTTACCTGTGCATATTTTACAGCTCTGAGCAAAGTGTTCTCCAGGGATTTCTCCCTTTTGCCAGGAAACCACAGTGTGTGGAATCATGCCCGAGTAGTTGCAGAGAAGACCTCAAGGCTGGGTTCACGCAACACCCTAAACACTAACCTCAGGTTGACAAAGCACAATGGCTCAATGTCGTTCACTTAACATACTAAACAGATAAATATTTCTGGCGTAATGGAATGGCCCAGTTCACTCAGCTCTCCAAGACAGAGAGAGATTAGCCCCATTGTCGCCTAACCTAGTTTGTGGTGCAAACTCAGCCTGGATCAGGAGCACTTCTAGGATATTTGGCTCTTGTAACTGCCCAGAATGCCCTGTGGGAACCGCTGCTCTCTCTTATGTCAACATTGCGGTCCTGTAATGTTTGGGGGTTTATGGACTGAGTTGCCATCATGCTGTGTTTGGTGGACGATGGGAAGCAGAATGCAGGGCTTGGGGGTGTGAACTAGCCAGGTTCCTCTTTTTATTCTTAATTTCCATTGTCTCTCTCTCTCTCTATATGGGGCAGTGCTGTACCAAGTGGGAATCAGGAGAGACGTACTGGCCAGAAGTGTGTGCAAGAGAGAATTTTTCAGAGGTGTGTTGCGTTTCTAGGAGGAAGAGGGAAGATTCTGACTGGGTTCACACATGCATGGGCCGCAGACTTGAGCAATGGCCACGCTGCGAAATGTGGAGATTTGAAAGAGATGTGAGGAGGCCTGTTTACCCATCCTGAGTCCTTATTTAAAGCGTCCTGCATCTAGCAAGCACGTAATCTGCATGTGTGAACTGCTCCAGAGGGGTGTTCTGTTTGTATTCTGGAGAATGTGGTGCTCCCCGCATTGCATGTGGGGAAATAGGGAAGAAAGAGGGGTGGCTCTGTTGGAAAGAAAGGAGCTTGCAGGTAAATAGGGCATTGTATCCAATACGTGTATAAAACAAGTGTGGAGCCACAGAGGAGCTGAAATGCCACATGTTCCCTTTCTATGTTTTTTTTCCTTTGCTCTCCAGTTATTGAGCACCTACCTACAAAGGCTGAGGAAGCAGCTCTAAAATGTTTCTTCCACTGTTTGGATCAGTGAGATTGAAAACAGGGAGGATTCTGGGAAAAAGAAGAATTGAAGCTGACCCTCTCTTCCTTCCTAGGCCCAGTGTCTGGATGCCAGGAATGTTTCAAGCTACTTAGAAAGTTAGAGAGGATCTAGGCTTTCTGCATCAGGTTCTTCAGTAACTCCTCTTCCATCAACACTGATTTTATAGTTTAGGGCAGTGTTTTTCAAACTTGACAACTTAAAGATGGGTGGACTTCAACTCCCAGAATTCCCCAGCCAGCAAGTTTGAAGAAGACTGGTTTAGGGCTTCTCCGAGTTTTCTCTGCTGCCTTATATGGAGTTGGGTTTGTTCAGAAATTGGGCACATGGATTCTAACAGTTCAGTGCAGGACATTGTTGGGTAAAATTGATACTGGCCTAGTCCATAAATGGTAACCTATTCTAGTAGCTCAGGGCAACTTAATAGAAGGTGAGAAGGGGGAATCTTAATTTGTCTTACAGTAACCCTGGTGGTAGGCACATTCAAGAATTTATGTGGTTGTCCTCTCCTGGTCAAAAAGAGGATTGGGAAGGGAAAGAGTATGACACATGGCAATGTGGAGATTGACCAATAGAAGACAGCACATAGCCAACCTTGGTTGATCTTGGAAAAACTAAGGCCTGAATAGCCTTGGGATGGGAGACTTCCAGGAGATCCCAGGCTGTAAGACTGGGAGAGCAATCAGAAAACATCAAACCTCGTCCATACTCATCTCAGAATACTACATGGTCCATGAAGTCATCAGGAGCTCAGCTCAACTTGAAGCAGACTTGAAATCATTAGGTAGATCACTTGACCCTTCCAATAAAAGCAGGGTTGGGGGTGTTCTCCCTTGCCACTGTTGTTGTTTTGACCCAAAATTATGTGCAACCAGTACAGGCTTGTGAGCCCAAGTTCAGCCCTTACTGTGCATTTGAGAAATCCTCCTTCAAACTAAGCCAACATGATTTGAGCCTCAATCAAATGGGGTATATTGTAGTCTAAGCTGGCAATTTTGCACTCAAAACATTCCTAAGCGAGAACGTTCTCCATACTTCTCTGTTTTTCCTTGGTACTCATGAAATACCAAGTTGGGCTATAATAAATTTAAATAAATAATAATAAATACTGTAGGCATGCTGTGCCCTTGTAATCATAGGATATTCTATCACCCATGTTCATATTTTCCATTGGAGGAAAATGGAGATAACACATAGCTATGACCTCCATCTCATCTGATTTCGCGTCCTGTATCATAAGTCAGGAGAGATTCGAACACAGGTCTTGCCAGTCCAGGAGAAGCTCAGTGCCTGGAAAGTTCCACAAGAGCCTTGCCAACCTCAAGATGGTTGGGCAGAAGCTCCCACCGTCCCCAGTCAGGCTGGCCTCCTCCAATGATGGGCATTATAATCTGATGCTGCTGGAGTGGTCCAAGTTGAAGAATGCTAGTGCTGAGCCCTCCTACGGCCCAGAATTCAAATTGTTTAGTGTGTGTCTAGCTAGAAGAAAATGGCCTTTCTTCCACGAAAAGAAGAACGTCCAGTGAAGACCCGCCACTTGTCCTGATTCAGCAGCTGAGTCTTGGTATCTGCCCTTCCTTCAAATCCGAATTAGCCAGTGCTTCCTTTTGAGATAATTGTGACTCCACCGCCTGTTCTCCAGCCTTCTGTGGCTTTCTCCTTAGACTAAACTTCACCTTTTGCGCCCATCTGTAGCCCCTCGACCTGTATGCATGTCTGCTTTATTCGCACAGAGGCACGGAGAGGGGTGAGCACCGCTTTCTTCCCGTGAACATTTGTGATTCTGTAGTTGTAAATGCATTAAAAATATCTTTAATTTATCCATATGGGTTTCTTGTTGATCTTACCTTAAACTTTTTTTGGGGGGGGGTGGATTCTGTTTATTTCATTACATCACAGGTGGGGGAGATGAACCCCAATGTGCCAGCAGAAGCCATTGGCATCTGTCCAAATGCCTGCTGTAGTGTTGGCTCTGCTCTGTTGACTAATAAAACTGGATTTATATATGTTAGACTCAATGGGGAGAGGATGATTTCTTGGCAAACTCAGCTCCATGGGGTGGCCTTTGTCTTTTCTGCTATCCCAGTCTGAATGTACCCTTTCAGAAAGCTGCTTAATTAAATGATTCATTATAGACCTCCAACAGCCAGTAGGTCTATCACAATTCTCTGCCATTCAACTGGAAGTCCATCTGGTCCAGGGTTTCCCCAGTTTCACAGATCACAATGTCCCTATGATCACTTTTACTGTCAATATGTAGAGAATAACAAAGATGACCTTGATGGAGATATGCAAGTTCCATTGCCAGAGGAACGGGGGTGAAACATAGTTTAAGTCCACAAAGGACAGACAACATTCAGAAGAAGTGGCTCAGACAGACGCTTCCTCATTCACTGAGATGTAAGAAGGAAGAGGAGATGCAGGTCCTGTTCCTGTAGCCAATCTCAATCAAAGGATCTTCCTGTTCTGATTTTTTTGGTCCGGTCTACCTAGTGGAGCTTACAAATATGTTTACAAATATGTTTTTATGTTCCAGAGAAATCTCTTCCATTTCAATATGTTCCAGGAAATTAGTAATTTGCTGTTCAGTTACAAAAGTCTGGTTAATATAACAGTATAAACATCATAAAACTATTGATTAGTAGATTTTGTTTTGGTAAATAGCTGTCCATTAATCTGGATTCAGGAAATAAACATTTTTTTTTCTGTTTCAAATGAAAGGCCAATCACTTCCCAGTTTTCTCTCTTGATTCCCAATATTTCTACTCAATAGATTTCAAAGGGTATTTAAATCATTCTGAAAGTAAAGTCCCCAATTTAAATTACTGCTGTAAATGCTTGGTATGATTCCTCTGTGGGGATTCTGGCATATAACAAAAGTGGGTCCTTAACCATCTGTTCCAACTCTAAAAAATGTGAGTGTTAAAGTTCCACAAAGAGTCTCTAAGGAAAAAAAAATGCAGGTATCACCTGGGATTAACTGATTTATAATTAACAATTTTCAAAGTTAGAATCACAGGGTTAAGAACTCCACTACCTACCTGTTTTTACTGCACCTGCAGAGTAGCAGCTGAGGATCCCAGCTTATTGATGATCCTCTTATAGGCACCAACTCTGAAGATTAAAATCCAAAACACCCAAACCCTCATTCGACTCCTTTCAATCTGTAGAGTCCTTGGGGTTCTCTGAGCTTGGTTGCTTTCTTGCAGACATTTCATTACCCAAATGAAACCCCACACTCTTGTAACACTGAAGATGTTACCTAGTTGGGTAATGAAACGTCTGCAAGAAAACAACCAGGCTCAGAGAACCCCAAGGACTCTCCAGTTCAACCCTGAGCTGTAGAGATTCTCTCCTTCCAATCTGTCCTGATTACTATGAAAACTCACACCCGCTCTGCCTGGACAAACTGACAGCCAGTTTGT